TTCCTATTCCAGAAATGGGAGGTAATTTTTCAAACTTACGTTTTATTCCATGTGTACATACACATAAAAACTATGCAGCAGATTCTTGGTGATAGACTTTTCCGTTTTAGTGTCTTCTTGGCTTTTCTATGTGCTCTAGTTTGTATACTACTAGTAGTCTTTGATGTGTTTGTTCTTTTGTATTCTGTGGGGTGTGAAATCGTTTTCTGGAGTTATTCTGTCTACATTTTAAAGTTATTTCATAAACCATATTAGTTAATGCACATGTTAGAAGATTATATAATATAATTGGCTAACTGCTATATATGCTAAAAGTTCTTGAATCATTTTGACTAATGTGTAGTCGATTGGGATTTGGGGGTTTCACTCTTACTTCATGTGTTACCTTCTTGTTGTAGGGTTTGACCATTTTTAATTCTTTGCTCATCGTAGAGTCTTGACAATTATGATCCAACTTAGTGCACCTACAGCCCTCTGGCGTGACTTTTTAAATCACGTAACTCAAGAAATGTGGAACACATTGACATTCCCAGATTTGGGGTTTTGCATTAAGTCCTTGGTAGCCTGCCAATTTACTGCATGGTCTGTGAATGTCCTTTTATTCATATCTACTATTGGTACATGCAAAGCCATCAGCTTGTGATCTTATAATCTTCTTGAAATCAACCAGGGCACTGACATTATTGTTAGAACTCAGAAGTTCTGAAACATTTAATTGTATGTCACTTGTCTTTGTTGACGAAAACGAATGCATTTTTATCTTGAAAACGTTCCATAGTTCTCGTACTTGAATAGTATTTCTCTTCCTTTTCTTTCCTATGTAAGGGTTGTGGTAGTCAAGCCACTTCTTGGCACTTTTCATTTCCGCATTCTAGTGGTATGTGATAGTTCAAGTTGATGAATTTGAATTATGCTTGCTAGCTTATTCTGTTACTCTGTTACTTAGAGCTGTCTGTTGCACTTTCTAGGTGCTGGGAACAACTTTGCAGATTATGGATTGGGTGAAGCTGATCCTGAAGTTCGTGGTATAATTGACAAAGAGAAGGAACGTCAATTTCGGAGTTTAGAGCTTATTGCCTCTGAGAATTTCACATCTCGAGCAGTGATGGAGGCAGTGGGTTCTTGCCTTACAAATAAATACTCCGAAGGACTACCAGGCAAAAGGTAAATTTTATCCCTATGAGAAGAAAAAGAAGAAAAATGAGCATTTTCACATTAATTTTTCTTTATTATTTATCTTTGTGATTACTTTGTTTGATATGAAATATGAATCTCTTCGTGGTAAAAACTTGTTCTTTTTTTCCTTTTGTGTAGCTTATTTAACAACGTTCTTCCTTTGTTCTTGTAAATGAATTCCCTATATCAGATATTATGGTGGAAACGAGTACATTGATGAGTTAGAAATACTCTGTCAAGAGAGGGCTTTGGCAGCCTTTAACTTAGATGGAAAACAGTGGGGTGTCAATGTTCAACCCCTATCTGGTTCTCCAGCAAATTTTGAAGCCTACACAGCAGTTCTCAATCCACATGACCGAATTATGGTTAGTTGTAAGCAGTCTCTTCCTGTTGGTCTTCTAGATTACATGGATTAATATTTGTCTTTAATATTTATCACTCAGGGATTGGACTTGCCTCATGGGGGTCATTTGTCCCATGGATTTATGACTCCTAAAAGACGAGTTTCAGGCACATCTATTTACTTTGAGTCCATGCCTTACCGCCTTGATGAATCTTCAGGTACCGCATGCCTATCTTTGTAGATGCATTAAGCTTTAACTATAATTGTAATCTGATTTTTGTTTCGACTTAACAGGCCTTGTTGATTATGACATGCTTGAGAAAACTGCAACCCTTTTTCGGCCAAAACTTATTATTGCTGGTGCTAGTGCATATCCACGAGATTTTGATTATCCTCGTATGAGAAAGGTACAAAATATTTGGAGTTTGCTAGTTGGAGTTGCTGTTTCATACTGATAATTCACCTTGTTGATATCTTATTTTCTACATCTAATTATTTCTTTTGCTATACGTCTGGAAGATAGCGGATGCTGTTGGAGCCTTTCTCATGATGGATATGGCTCACATCAGTGGGCTTGTTGCTGCCTCTGTAGTTGCTAATCCATTTGAATACTGTGACATTGTTACCACAACAACTCACAAGGTATGATTTAAAATTCTTGAAATATTGTGCATAGCCATTCCAGCTCCTTCTACCCAGCGAAAAATAAAGTTAAAAAGAAAATCACAGAAAGGACAAATGGAGAATGAAATGCAAAAATATTTTTGATGATTTTATTTCCATTGGCCTGATTAAGTTTAATGGCAATGCTTTTGTTCAGTCTCTAAGAGGTCCTAGAGGAGGAATGATCTTCTTCAAGAAAGATCCTGTCCTAGGCGTTGATTTGGAATCTGCCATCAATAATGCTGTTTTTCCTGGCTTGCAGGTCAGTTCCATTTTCTCTCAACACTAATTGTTACCCTACAATTTTTTCTTTTGCTCCCCGGAATGTTAAAACCTATCAATGCCTGGACTATTGGCACTTTAGCTGTATGTTGTATAATGTGGTGAGTTTGACGAGCAATAGCATGCTTTTTTTTCACAGGGTGGTCCACATAATCATACAATTGGAGGACTAGCTGTTTGCTTGAAGCATGCCAAATCACCTGATTTCAAGGCTTATCAGAACAAGGTAAAGATTTTCCTGTCTTTTCACTAGATTGTGGCCATTTATGCGGGAAACATAATTTTTGTGTTTGCAGGTGGTCTCTAACTGTAGAGCTCTTGCAAGCCGGTTAATGGAGTTGGGGTACAAGCTGGTATCTGGAGGAACTGACAATCATTTGGTCCTAGTTGATCTCAGGCCATTGGTAAGTTCTGCATTACACTATTTCTTATCCAGAAAAGAAAAATTCAACTAGGACATGCAAATGTACTGGCAACGCAATCGTAGTTAATGAACTATTAAACTATTAAGCACTGGTGGTTACTGCGGAATTGAAGTGCAACCATATGAATTTGGTAAATATTGGATAGCAAATATTATTTGGTTGATTAATGTATCCATATAGGAAGTCTAAAAACAGGTCGTCAAACTCTGTTAAAGGATCCTTCTGGCTTTTACTTGTTAGTATCTGTGTTTTACCAGCTATAAGCACCAAGATACAACCAACCTCGTCCTGTGAACTTTGATTAACCCGACTACATATGCCAATTAGGGTACTGATGGTGCTAGAGTGGAGAAAATACTTGACATGGCATCAATCACGCTCAATAAGAATTCAGTAGCCGGTAAGTTTAGAAGCTTTAACCATTGTGATTTATTATTGACATCTATTATCTTGTCCTTACACCGTCAATGAAACTGTAGGTGATAAAAGTGCACTAGTGCCTGGTGGTATACGCATAGGCTCACCTGCAATGACAACTCGAGGTTTCTCAGAGAAGGAATTTGTAACTGTTGCAGACCTCATTAACGAGGGTGTGCAGATAACTCTTGAGGCCAAGAGCTTAGTCTCTGGTTCTAAACTCCAAGACTTCATGAAGTTTGTTACTTCACCGGAGTTTCCTTTGATCGATAAGGTGTTAGATCTGCAAAGAAGAGTTGAAGCTTTGACAATCCAATATCCATTGCCTGGCTTGTGATGAAACATTGGTGGAGATTTTTCAGTAGCAAACTGGTTGTATGAAATAGTATAACAGGCAGATTCTTGAAAGTTGATAATGTAGGATGATTGCATGAAATGCTGTCTCCCCACCCCCACCCCCCTTTAGGATTTAAAATGGAAAAAAGTGATCCAAAATTTTGAAAATGTGGAGGAAATATATGAAATACTTGGTAAATGTTTTTTCTATGAATTTTTATCCATCTTTATTAGAATTTAGAAGTTACAATTATACGTACATGTTCAAGCTTTTTATGAAAGAACAAAAAATAAGCTTTTTTTCCATGGAAGGAGCAAACACAATGTACAAGAAACAAGTGTGGTAGGTTTTTGTTTCTAAGGTAGAATTCATCGCGATTAAGAAATAATAAAAGAAAATCTTTCTTTCTCTAAATTAGGGAGTTGAGACTTTCTTGCTCTCAAGTCTGTTGTAAGGTCAATAAGATCACGAAGGAGATTGAATTCTTTCTTCTATCCATATTGACTCAAGTCGTGATATTCACCATATTATGATGCATTCCTCGATAGCAATAGAAATCGTCGTCCATTTCAGCTACCATACATGTATGATCCATACTAGATGGACAACCATTATACATGCTCTACATTCTTGAAAGTTCATTTTTGTCTCAATAGAGTCTCTTAGACACATTTTAATCTTTTTTCCCATATTTAATTAGTGAGTCATTGTTTCACGTACAAATATTATTATTTCTGCTTGAACAATTTTTTATCAATAAAACAAGTATATCCCCCATACTATATATTACTTCCTCCGTCCAACAATACTTGTCCACTATTGACTTTGCACACTCCTTAAGAAACTATAAATAGAAGAGTAATTTTACTATATCACCATTTAAATATAATAAATACAATGCCATGAAAAATGTAATAGAAAAATAACTATAACTAATGATAAGGGTGAATTAGGAACTAAGTGTAGAATTATCTATCAATTTCATAAAGTGGACAAGCATTGTTGGGCATTCCAAAATAGTATAGTGGACAACTATTATTATACGGAAGGAGTCGTAAAATGGAATACATGTATTTCGTTCGAGCAAGAGGACTTTTATCTCAATTCTAATAATTCAAGGATATTTTTAAACCGCAAAACCAAACGGAGAACATTTTATTCTATTTTCAATTTTCAATAGTTGAGGGGTTATATTTTAAAACCATTTTCCCTTTAATTAACCCTACCTAGGGTTTAAGATAGAAATCACCCCAAATCCCTGGACTTTCTCTTCTATCACTTTATCAAATTACTCTTCAATTTTTTCTTCCACATTTTGCTGAATTTAGGTATAATTCCATAGTTTTCACTTCCAACAATGCCAAAAAAGAGTAATTTGAAGAAGCCTAAACCAGTGGAAGTAGCAGCAGCTGCTGTTGTAGAAAAGGAGAAAACAATTCCTTCATCCAAAACCAAAAAGCCAGGCAGTGAAATCGACGATATATTTGCCGGAAAAAAGAGGAAGAAACCGGAATTACAAGAAAAATCAACTGGAGTTGCTGTTACAGAGCCGAAAAAGGTGAAGAAAAGCAAGGAAACAAGTAGTAGGATTCCGAAAGATAATGTGTTATCTGAGCCACGACGTCGGTCGAGGAAGAAAACGGCAGATGGGTTTACTTTATACACAGAAGAGGAGTTGGGTTTTGGGAGGTCTAATGCTGGAGGTACTTCACTTTGCCCTTTTGATTGTGACTGTTGTTTTTAGTGAATTTTGAAAGGATTGTTTGATATTGAAGGAATTATATCAGTTTTGTAGTGAATTTGTAGTAGTATGTCTGTTTTGAGGATGAAGTTTTGTTCTTTTAACTGACTGGTGTAAGTTGTAACAGTTTTATTTGAATGCATGAGGAATTTTGTTTATAGATGTAAAGTGTTCGTTTTGGTGATGCATATTCAATTGCCTGGATTTTTGAAGCTGAAAAGTATAAACTTTTGAGTTGGGTTTGTGTATTCATGGAATTGTTCCCAATACACTTGAGAGATCGAAGAAAAATCTGAGTACACCTGATTGTGTCTGTAAAATGGTCCATGTAACATAAATTAGGGTTATTGCGTTAAGTTTTGAGTGTGAAAGGATGTACGTATGATTTCCAGTTCTGCATAAGCAAACTTGGCTGCGCTATTTAGCTTACAAGTGAAATCCTAGATGGTTATCTGTAACATGGTCTCCTGGATCTATGAATGGATGCTGATGCTGTCTAGATATTCTTATTGCTGATAGGTAGATAGACCATATAATGAGGCATCTTCGCCCGTTTCTCCTAGTCATTGATTGACATACTTGGTTTTGGATAAAAGGAGCTAGACAATGTGACGGAACATGCATGCGGAGGAAGTAGTCCAGATCACCAACTTCATCCAGGAAAAGTTAAAGCACAGACCATAAAACCAATCTAACAATAATATTTTTTGGAACCTGTAAAGATATCTTTAGTATATCTATGCTAAAGGAAATAGGTAACTATACTCATTGTGGGAGTTAAACATTGAGTTGTTTGTCCCACCACTAAAAAATCCATGCTTGTAGAAAAAGGAACAAAGAAGAGTAACTAGGCTAAAGAGTTCGGTTAAGGCAGTGAAATATGCAGCTTGCAAACTTAGGTAGACTAGTAAGGATCAACAAGGTCTTGCAGTTGCTCCACATAATCTGTCAGCTAACCCTTGAGAAGAGCATCTTTAATGTCGAACTGACAAATAGACCAGCGTGAGAGAGAGAGAGAGAGAGAGACAGAATTGTCGTCAAGGACAGGACACCAATGACTGGTGTCTAGGCCTGCTTCGTGCACATCGACTAATTCCACGGGATACCTGCCACCTCCCACTAGCAATAGGTACTAGGTAACTCTGCCTAGCAAGGCTAGGACATAGTTGTCGTCACTTTTATACTAGAGAATAATGGACCCAGAAGCTGAGGATAAAGGTGACATCCCTACATCTGAATGATTGGGGTGGAAAAAAGATCCAAATTACCAACCAAATCGTAAATTTGACACGATGGAGCTGTGCCGATATGAGGGAAGGAATTTGCTACAAAACTGGTTGCTGGACAGGCCCAAGGACGCGTTGATCAGTGAAGAAAGCATGCTGAAATTGTTAATTTTGATCATGGTTATTGGTCATGGCATTTGTCGTAGTGAGGATGTTCATGTTCACCCCCTTCTGCATTATTTTATTGTTAGATGTGTACATGAATGACTGTTAAGGCAGGAAGGTGTAAGCGGTTGCATCAAGACATGCTTCATATATAATCAGCGTTGGTCATAACTTTGCAAAAGTTAGAGTTGATATCATGTGAAATGTCATGATAGCTAAGGCATCAGAGGAGATAGTATGAGTACAGTGAATAGTTCACTGTAGACGCTGGGTGTAGGACGCACGTCTATGGACAAGCTCATGAAGCTTACCTATAAACACATTAGTAGTTAGGTCCCTAACTAAATGTAGGAAGTGGTATTTGGTATCAATATCATCCAAGCATTGCGACAATCAGGTAATTATTAAGAAGTGGGGATAAGACCATATGGATCATTGCATGTATCCATCTGAATGGCATGCTTGTGTTGTTTAATTAGTTCCAGATTTGGTGATCTGATGAAGATGGTTCATCATCTGGGAGTTTGGAGTCACCGATCTGACCCAACATTTCCAGGACCAGTTAGAAAAAGATCAAACCACTTCGAGTAATTCCTTAACGTAGCATATCTGGAAATTGGAACAAGGTCCTTAATGTGAAGAAAGGGTCCAAACATGATGGGAAGAAAAAAATTAATGCGCTAGGAGCAAAAGCAGCAAGTCGAAGGCTAGAGAATGGTGTTGGCAGCATGCTGATGGCAATCAGAGCAATGTGTGAAGGCTGGCAAAGTGGCACCTGAAAGTGTCATGGAGGGAGAAAAGTTGAGGTGTTTGTCAGAGTAACCCGTGAGTCAGTAGCGCTGAGGAGAGGGACTGAGCGTGCAGCTAGAAAGAGGAGAGAAATTAATCTAAGGTCGTAAAAGATATAAAATTACGAGCATCATCACGTGTTTTTATTGATTTGGTTCTTTATATAGCTGAAACATTTTCGTCTGACTAGTCGACTAAACGATTGTTTTTCCAGCTAGCTCATCCTTGGAGGCCTTCATAAAATGCCTATTACTTGTTTGAACTGTGAAGAATTACTTGCACAATTTAGTGTAATGCACCAATTTCATTTGCTTGGAATATTCTAAAAGAGAGTGATATAATTTTTGGAATAATTTCAGAGACTCTAGTTTTCGCTTCGTAATACTGATCTCCTTTGTCTCTCACAATATTATGCTTACCTCCCTTATTTTGATTTTTTTTTTAATAATTCGTTTGACATTGAGGTTTATGTACTAACTACACCATTGACCAAAGTTTTAGTGCCGGTTTTCCTAAAGACCTTTTCTTCCCTCTTCAATTATGGGTAATATTTGATACTCCATCCATTATGTGGCACCTTTAGTATTTCAAGATTCAAACGAGTATTAAATATTTCATGCCTGAATTCATGGTTAAAATTTAATTGTTTGACTCTCGAAATTTGAGTTGTGCCATATAAATTAAAACAAAGGGAATACTATTTATGAATAGTTAAATTTAATTAAGTCTAAAAGAGATCGGATCAAAAATAGAGAAGTAAAATGTTAATGAGACTTTATCATAAGCCGTTGGCGATAATACATGATTAGTTTTTTGATTATAGAGATTGAGATAGTTTGATAAAATATAATCTTTGGGTGATTGTATATTTGAACGAAAAAAATAAATACAGACATCTTTTGCTTCTACTTGATTTTTCCAACTTCTTTTTTCACACAATAGATATTTCCATTTTGTTTTTTCACACAAAATAGATACTACTACCATGCAAAGAAGTTTTTATTTTACTAACATGAGTTGTGGTGCACTGGTGGGAGTTTTTCACCCTTAACCAGAGGTCTCGGGTTCGAGCCCTAGGTATGGAGAAAATCTTGTTGGGAGCGTCACCCCGAATGGGCCCTGCAGTGTGCGATCCGGATTTAGTCGGAGCTTCAATGTGGGCTCCAAACACCGGGTGAAAAACCAAAAAAAAAACTTTTTCTTTTCAAATTTATTGTCCAACACCTTAAACCTCTTCTGGTAGATGTTTGGATTAGCCAATCATGAAACATTGTTTACATTTCACTGTTGTCGATTTTGTTCATTGTTTCCTCTCCAACTTGAGTTACAAAGCAACCAAGATGGCCTGAATTGATTGAAAATTCTAATATTTCAAGATTAAAACTTAGTGAAGATAAAAAATATCAAGATTCTTTTTTTATCTGTTCTAGTCTTAGTGAACAGAGTTACCTGGTACCTGTTGATGATGAGATGTGACAGTTATTCCATGAAATTAGTTGAGATACACGAAAATTGGTTTGGATACCACAGTCATTAAAAAAAAGAACTTGACAAAAAACTTGGAAGATAAAATCTTATATGAGGGGCATCTTGATACCTGTTGTTGATGAAAAGTGACATGAATTTTGTGAAATTAGTTGAAATGTACGAAAGTTGATTCAGATACCATGGTCATTAAAAAAAAACTTGACAAAGAATTTGGAAGATAAAACCTTATATGAGGGGCACTTGGAAGGTGAGGTTATATGTACCACTCCCCCAGGTCATTACAAAGGGTCTTGTAAAAGTTTTGCGAAAAAAGTGTCTAGAAATCATATCATCGGAAAATTCATTAACTAACACTCATGAAATTCGATAATCGTCTAATTCCTGTTGAGTGACCCCAAAATGTAAAAAAAAAGAAGGTATGAGTTATGGTGAGACTATAAGAATTATTCCCCAGATCCTTGTGGATAATTCTGTAAAAGTTGAGAGAAAAAAAGTGTGCGGAAGCTATATCACCAAAAAATTCATAGGCTAACACACATGACAAACTGAGAAATATCCTAATTCGTGTTGAATGACCCCTAAATAAAAAAAATGGTGTGGATCATGGTGGGACTAAGAAAATATCCTAATTCGCATGGTTATGTCAAAGGTTTTGAGACAAAGTGTATGAAAGCCATATTACCAAAAAATTTATGTGCTAAAATACATGAAAAACTAAGAAAATCGCTTATTTAGGAATTATGCGACATTTTTTATTTTGGGTGTGTATTAGCCCATGGATCGAGGCCTTGGAGCACCCAAAATTTTTTCGTGAAAAAACTTTATGAGGACCTCCGTAATGAGTTAGGGAAGCATTAAGTCCCACCATTTTAAAGCCTATTTTCGCATTACAGGCCAACTTTTGGAAATTACACGACTTTCCTGGTTTTCGTGTATATTAGCCCATGCTTTTGGCGCCTTAGAACACTCGAAAAAAAATTCTGAAAAAACTTTATGAGAACCTGCATAATGAGTTAGGGAAGCATTACATATGGTCCGACCATTTTAAGGCCTATTTTTGCATTTATCAACCAACTTTTTAGGAATTACGCGACTTTCTCGATTTTTCGTGTGTATTAGACCATGGATTTGACACCTTAGAGCACCCAATATTTTTTTGTCTGAAAAAGACTTTATGAGGAACTCTATAATGAGTTGGGGAAGCATTGCGTATAATCCCACCAATATAAGGTCTATTTTTGGGAATAACGCGAATTTTCCATTTTTTGGTGTGTATTAGCCCATGAATTTGGCACCTTGGAACACCCAAATTTTTTTCTGAAAAAACTTTATGAGGACCTCCATAATGAGTTAGGAAAGTATTACATAAAGTCCGACAATTTTAAGGCTTATTTTCGCATTTACCAATCAAA